GGTTTATCTCTGGGCTTTCTATCCTGTTCCATTGATCTATATTTCTGTTTTTGTGCCAGTACCATACTGCCTTGATTACTGTAGCTTTGTAGCATAGTCTGAAGTCTGGGAGCCTGATTCCTCCAGCCCCAGTTTTCTTTCTCAAGATTGCTTTGTCTGTTCGGGGTCTTTTGTGTTTCCATACAAATTGTGAATTTTTTTTCTAGTTCTGTGAAAAATGCCATTGGTAGTTTGATAGGGATTGCACTGAATCTGTAGATTGCTTTGGGTAGTATAGTCATTTTCAAAATGTTGATTCTTCCAATCCAAGAACATGATATATCTCTCCGTTTGTATCATCTTTAATTTCTTTCCTCAGTGTCATAGTTTGCTGCATACAGGTTTTTTGTCTCCTTAGGTAGGTTTATTCCTAGGTATTTTATTCTTTTTGTTGCAGTGGTAAATGGGAGTGTTTCCTTAATTTCTCTTTCAGCTTTTTCATCATTAGTGTATAGGAATGCAAGAGATTTCTGTGCATTAATTTTGTATTCTGCTACTTTATCAAATTTATTGATTAGCTCTAGTAGTTTTCTGATAGCATCTTTAGGATTCTCTATGTATAGTATCATGTCATCTGCAAACAGTGACAGCTTTGCTTCTTCTCTTCCAGTTTGTATTCCTTTTATTTCTTTTTCTTCTCTGATTGCTGTGGCTAAAACTTCCAAAACAATGTTGAATAATACTGGTGAGAGTGGGCAACCTTGTCTTGTTCCTGATCTTAGAGAAAGTGGTTTTAGTTTTTCACCATTGAGGACGATGTTGACTGTGGGTTTGTCATATATGGCCTTTATTATGTTGAGGTAAGTTCCCTCTATGCCTACTTTCTGGAGGGTTTTTATCATAAATACATGTTGAATTTTATCAAAAGCTTTTTCTGCATCTATTGAGATGATCATATGGTTTTTCTCCTTCAATTTCTTAATATGGTGTATCACATTGATTGATTTGCATATATTGAAGAATCCTTGCATTCCTGGGATAAATCCCACTTTATCAAGGTGTATGATCCTTTGAAAGTGCTGTTGGATTCTGTTTGTTAGTATTTTGTTGAGGATTTTTGCATCTATGTCCATCAGTGATATTGGCCTGTAGTTTTCTTTCTTTGTGACATCTTTGTCCGGTTTTGGTATCAGGGTGATGGTGGCCTCGAAGAATGAGTTTGAGAGTGTTCCTCCCTCTGCTATATTTTGGAAGAGGTTGAGAAGGATAGGTGTTAGCTCTTCTCTAAATGTTTGATAGAATTCTCCTGTGAAGCCATCTGGTCCTGGGCTTTTGTTTGTTGGAAGATTTTTAATCACAGTCTCCATTTCAGTGCTTGTGATTGGTCTGCTTATATTTTCTATTTCTCCCTGGTTCAGTCTTGGAAGGTTGAGCTTTTCTAAGAATTTGTCCCTTTCTTCCAGGTGGTCCATTTTATTGGCATAGAGTTGCTTGTAGTAATCTCTCATAATCCTTTGTATTTCTGCAGTGTCAGTTGTTACTTATCCTTTTTCATTTCTACATCTATTGATTTGAGTCTTCTCCCTTTTTTTCTTGATAAGTCTGGCTAATGGTTTATCAATTTTTTTATCTTCTCAAAGAACCATCTTTTAGTTTTATTGATCTTTGCTATTGTTTCCTTCATTTCTTTTTCATATATTTCTGATCTGGTCTTTATGATTTCTTTCCTTCTGCTAACTTTGGGGGGTTTTTTGTTCTTCTTTCTCTAATCACTTTAGGTGTAAGGTTAGGTTGTTTATTTGAGATTTTTCTTGTTTCTTGAGTTAGGCTTGTATAGCTATAAACTTCCCTCTTAGAACTGCTTATGCTGCATCCCATAGGTTTTGGGTCATCATGTTTTCATTGCCATTTGTTTCTAGGTATTTTTTAATTTCGATTTCTTCAGTGATCTCTTGGTTATTAAGTAGTGTATTGTTTAGCCTCCATGTGTTTGTATGTTTTACAGACTTTTTCCTGTAATTGATATGTAGTCTCATAGTGTTGTGGTTGGAAAAGATACTTGATACAATTTCAATTTTCTTAAATTTACCAAGACTTGATTTGTGACCCAAGATATGATCTAATCTGGAGAATGTTCCATGAGCACTTGAGAAGAAAGTGTATTCTGTTCCTTTTGGATGGAATGTCCTATAAATATCAATTAAGTCCATCTTGTTTAATGTATCATCTAAAGCTTGTGTTTCCTTATTTATTTTCATTTTGGATGGTCTGTCCATTGGCGAAAGTGAGGTGTCAGAGTCCCCTACTATGATTGTGTTACTGTCGATTTCCCCTTTTATGGCTGTTAGTATTTGCCTTGTGTATTGAGGTGCTCCTATGTTGGGTGCATAAATATTTACAATTGTTATATCTTCTTCTTGGATTGATCCCTTGATCATTAAGTAGTGTCCTTCTTTGTCTCTTGTAATAGTCTTTGTTTTAAAGTCTGTTTTGTCTGATATGAGAATTGCTACTCCAGCTTTATTTTGATATCCATTTGCATGGAATATCTTTTTCCATCCCCTCACTTTCAGTCTGTATCTGTTCCTAGGTCTGAAGTGGGTCTCTTGTAGACAGCATATATATGGGTCTTGTTTTTGTATCCATTCAGCCAGTCTGTGTCTTTTGGTGGGAGCATTTAATCCATTTACATTTAAGGTAATTGTCGATATGTGTGTTCCTATTCCCATTTTCTTAATTGTTTTGGGTTTATTATTGTAGGTCTTTTCCTTCTGTTGTGTTTCCTGCCTAGAGAAGTTCCTTTAGCATTTGTTGTAAAGCTGGTTTGGTGGTCCTGAATCCTCTTAGCTTTTGCTTGTCTGTAAAGCTTTTAATTTCTCTGTCAAATCTGAATGAGGTCCTTGCTGGGTAGAGTAATCTTGTTTGTAGGTTTTTCTCCTTAGTCACTTTAAATATGTCCTGCCACTCCCTTCTGGCTTGCAGAGTTTCTGATGAAAGATCAGCTGTTAACCTTGTGGGGATTCCCTTATGTGTTATTTTTCCCTTGCTGCTTTTGATATTTGTTCTTTGTATTTAATTTTTGATAGTTTGATTAATATGTGTCTTGGCATGTTTCTCTTTGGATTTATCCTGTATGGGACTCTCTGTGCTTCCTGGACTTGATTAACTATTTCCTTTCCCATATTAGGGAAGTTTTCAAGTATAATCTCATCAAATATTTTCTCAGTCCCTTTCTTTTTCTCTTCATCTTCTGGGACCCCTATAATTTGAATGTTGGTGCATTTAATGTTGTCCCAGTGGTCTCTGAGACTGTCCTCAATTCTTTTCATTCTTTTTTCTTTATTCTGCTCTGCAGTAGTTATTTCCACTATTTTATCTTCCAGGTCACTTATCCGTTCTTCTGCCTCAGTTATTCTGCTATTGATCCCTTCTAGGGAATTTTTAATTTCATTTATTGTGTTGTTCATCATTGTTTGTTTGCTCTTTAGTTCTTCTAGGTCATTGTTAAATGTTTCTTGCATTTTCTCCATTCTATTTCCAAGATTTTGGATCATCTTTACTATCAGTACTCTGAATTCTTTTTCAGGTAGACTGCCTATTTCCTCTTCATTTGTTTGGTCTGGTGGGTTTTATCTTGCTCCTTCATCTGCTGCATGTTTCTCTGTCTTCTCATTTTTCTTAACTTACTGTGTTTGGGGTCTCTTTTTCATAGGCTGCAGGTTTGTAGTTCCCGTTGTTTTTGGTGTCTGTCCCCAGTGGGTAAGGTTGGTTCATTGGGTTGTGTAGGCTTCCTGGTGGAGGGGACCTAGTGCCTGTGTTCTGGTGGATGAGGCTGGATCTTGTGTTTCTGGTGGGCAGGACTGCGTCCGGTGGTGTGTTTTGGGATGTCTGTGACCTTATTATGATTTTAGGCAGCGTCTCTGCTAATGGGTGGGGTTGTGTTCCTGTCTTGCTAGTTGCGTTCTCCCAGGGAAGTTATCCCTGGATCACGGGACCCTAGCGTTGGTGGGCTGCACAGGCTCCCCAGAAGGGGGTGTGTGGAGAGTGACCTGTGCTTGCACACAGGCTTCTTGGTGGCTGCAGCAGCAGCCTTAGTGTCCCATGCTCGTCTCTGGGGTCCATGCTGATAGCCACGGCTCGCGCCTGTCTCTGGAGCTCGTTGAGGCAGTGCTCTGACTCCCCTCTCCTCGTGCACCGGTAACAATGGCCTCTTGCCTCTTCGGCAGCTCCAGACTTTTCCCCGGACTCCCTCCCGGCCAGCCGTGGCGCACTAACCCCCTGCAGGCTGTGTTCACGCCGCCAACCCCAGTCCTCTCCCTGCGCTCCAACTGAAGCCCGAGCCTCAGCTCCCAGCCCCGCCCGCCCCGGTGGGGGAGCAGACAAGCCGCTCGGGCTGGTGAGTGCCAGTCAGCACCGATCCTCTGTGTGGGAATCTCTCCGCTTTGTCCTCCGCATCCCTATTGCTGCGCTCTCCTCCGCGGCTCCAAAGCTTCCCACCTGGCCAACCCCATCTCTGCCAGTGAAGGGGCTCCTTAGTGAGTGGAAAGCTTTTCTCCTTCACGGCTCCCTCCCACTGGTGCAGGTCCCGTCCCTATTCTTTTGTCTCTGTTTTTTCCTTTTTCTTTTGCCCTACCCAGGTACGTGGGGAGTTTCTTGCCTTTTGGGAGGTCTGACGTCTTCTGCCAGCGTTCAGTGGGTGTTCTGTAGGAGCTGTTCCACATGTAGACGTATTTCTGATGTATTTGTGGGGAGGAAGGTGATCTCCAGGTCTTACTCCTCCGCCATACATTCACTTTTGACGAAGTGCAGTTTATTCTTTTTTTCCTTTCAATACAGTGGTTTTGCTGTCATATCTAAGAAAGCTTTATTAAACCCGAGTCATGAAGATTTTTACTCCTGGACTTTCTTCTAGGAGTTTTATGGTCTTAGCTCTTACTTTTAAGCTCTTACATGTAGAGTTAGTTTTTGTGTATGGTGTGAGGAAAGTGTTCAGTTTCAGTGTTTTGCACGTGACTACCCGATTGTCCCAGCACTATTTGCTGAGAAGACTATTCTTTCTGTATTGAATTGTCTTGGCACCCTTGTTAAAAATCAAGTGACCATAAATGTGAGAGTGTATCACTGGACCCTCGATTCTCTTCCATTGATCTGTGTCTGTCCTGGTATAGGCACCACACAGTTTTCATTACTCTAGCTCTGTATTGTTTAGACATTGGGAACCATGAGTCCTCCAACTTTGTTCTTTTCCTAGTTATTTTTGGCTATCCTGGGTCATTGAATTTCCATATGAATTTTAGGATCAGCTTATCATTTTCTGCAAAAAAAAAAAAACTTTTTGGGATTTTGATAAGAATTGTATTGAATCTATAGACCACTTTGGAGCATATTGTCATTTTAACAAAATAAAAATAATAAGGTTTTTGATTCATGAATTTGGGATGTTTTCCCATTTATTTAGATTTTCTCTAATTTCTTTCAGCAATATTTTTTTAGTTTTCACAGAATAAGTTTGTACTTTTGTTAAATTTATCCCTATGTATTTTATTCTTTTGGGTGCTTTTGTAAATGGAATTTTCTTCATTTAATTTCAGACTTTTATTGCTAGTGTATAAAATTAAAATAGATTTTTGTATATTGATCTTATGTCTTGCAAATTGCTGAGCTCCTTTATTAGTTTCAATAGTATTTTCATGGATTCCTTAGGATTTTCTACACCCAGGCTCATGTCATCTGCAAATAGAGGTAGTTTTGCTTCTTCCTTTCCAATCTGAATGGTCTTTATTTCAATTACTTGCCTAACTACCCTGGCTTGAATTTCCAGTATAATGTTGAATAGAAGTGGTGAGAGCAAACAGCCTCATCATAATCCCAGAGTTAGGAGGAAGGCTTTCATTCTTTCACCATTAACATGATGCTGGCTGTGGTCTTTTTATAGATTATCAGTTTGAGGAAGTTACCTTTTATTCAGCATTTGTTGAGTGCTTTTTGCATAAAATGATGATGGATTTGGTCAAATATTCTTTCTGTGTTTATTGAGATGATCATGTGTTCTTTTTTCTTTATTCTATTAGTATGCTGTATTTAATTGGTTGAAAGTCTTATGTTGACCCAACCTTACATTCCTGGGTAAATCTGACAGGTTCACGGTGTATAGTTTTTTTAATACAGTACCAGATTCAGTTTGCTAGAATTTTGTTGAGGAATTTCACGTTTAAATTTATAAAATATATTGGTCAGTAGTTTTCTTTTCTTATGATGCTTTGTCTGGTTTTGGTGTAAGGGTAAAATCAGCCTGGTGGAATGAGTTTAGAAGTGTTCTGTTCATTCTGTTTTTAGAAGAGTTTGTGCAGTATTGGTGTTAATTCTTCTTTCCATATTTGGTAGAATTCACCTATGATGCTATCTGGACCTGGGCGTTTCTCTGTGGGAAGATTTTTGATTAGTAATTCAATCTCTTTACTTTTGTAGGTATATTCAGATTTTCTTCTTGAGTCAATAAAATAGTTTGTGTTGTCTAAGAAATTATCCATTTCATCTAAGTTACCTAGAGTTTGTAAATTGGACCGGAAGCGTCGGAAATCATAAACTCTATGATAACTGTATTTAAGATTAAATTATTGCTAATGATCTTTGATCAGGCATATGTAGCAACATTTGATTAAAAATGACAATTAACAATATATATTATATAATTAACAATATAGATTTAAATAGAGATATTAAATTATTTTCAGCTAGAAAAATATGTGTTGGTTTAAATAGTACAGCCTACCAGCCTACTTATTAAGAGTACGCACAGACATCTCAAGTCCCTTCTCAATCTAGGAGAGGGATATGTCAATAAACGTCCACCCACGTCTACATTAACCAGCTATGTTACCTGTGCAGTGTAGCATTAGTCTCTTTTTTGCACTATAACTTAATCCTTGGTAACGTTGTCAGGTGTTTATTGAACACTTGGAAATGAAATACTCTTTAGTTACCTTTTTGAATAAATAAACAAGGTAATTAAAAAGGAGCCAAAAAGCCAGGTATCTTTGTTTGCCAACATAATGCAAATAACTCTTTCTGTCAGCCCCTTCTTTACTGTAATTTAGTCCTCAATAGACTTTCAGTCTATGAACACACCAATGGAAGTGGGGAAGAAAAGGTTCAAAGAATGGTTGTTCTTAGAGGATGCAGTTGTTGCTAGAAAGGAGAGATATGCAGGTTATTTTAAGTGTCTTTAAAGATGAGTGATGGAAAAAAGTCTAGAAGAAAAATATCTTTCAACTTGAACTTTTAAATCTAGAGAGAATTCATTTCCAATATAAAGATTTTTATAAATTGAGACATAATTGACATATAACACTGTGTTAGCTTAAGGTGTACAACAGGTTTATTTGACACATTTATATATTACAATATGATTACCACCATAGCATTAACTAACACTTCTATCTGGTCAAATAATTTTTATTTCTTTTTTATGGTGAGAGTATGTAAGATCTAGTCTCTTAGCAAATTTAAAATATATAATACAGTATTGTTGACTACAGTCATAATGCTGTACATCAGTTCTCCAGAACTTATTCATCTTCTAACTGCAATTTTGTTCCCTTTGGCCAACACTCCCAAATTCTTCCCCCCACCCCCCAGTCACTGTTAACAACCCACTCTCTGTTTTAATGAGTTCAGCTTATTTAGTTCTTCTATAAGTGATATTAACACTTGTATTTGTCTTTGTATGACTTATCTCACTTAGCATAGTACCCTCAAGGTCCATTCATGTTGTTGCAAATGGCGGGATTTCCTTCTTTTGCAGGGCTGAGTAATATTCCATTACATGTTCTGCATCTTGTTTATCCATTCATCCATTGATGGATGGCTATGAAGTGTTCTGGGGCCATAATGATAGACCTGGTCATGAATAGATTAGAGTTCATTTCCTTGGAAGATCTGTATTGCAAGCCATTCACTTTTATAAATACCAATTGCAATTTAGTTAGAAGCAATTGAATGAGTGTTGTGTGTAAATAATTTATTCTCCTAACAATCTCATGAAGAGGGATAATTACGCCTGTCTGACATACGGTAGAACTGAATCTCACCCAAGTTAGTAAGTATGGAATCTTAGAGTTCCTTAAACTAAATCCAAAGTTAGAACAAGGCAGAAAAAGTGTATTACCAAAACCAAACATTTGTCTTATTGTCTAGAATCGGGGCTTTGGAATGCAACATACAGAGAAGGACTAGTGAAATTGAATTTAAAAAGTGGTTTAATTTTCTGTATCTGTAAAAAATAATGCAGGGGAACAATCACTTCTTAGACATGCTTCGGTAGAACTTTTTAAGATTACTTACTTCATATATTTCCATGATAAATCCTTCACAAACTTCTGCTCTTTATTTTTCATAACAGTTTACCTTCAACACATCCTACAAGTGATTAAAACACATCAAGGACATGGCAGTTGAGAAGCCATAAATCTCAATTATTCAAGCTTTAAAATCCTTCTCTGTCTCTCTTCTTTTTCTCTCTCCTCCGTTAGTTTGACTGAAGGTCTGAAAAATCCAATTAACTGCCTTAACTCATCACTTGGAACGTACAGATAAAATCATTGCATACAAATAAAATGCAATCTCAGCTGTGCACAGGGTTTTCCCATGCTTGCGGCAGGGATTAAATTCTACACTGTGTTCTGATGTTCTCAATCACTCATCTTAGGCCAAAACTTACTTCAGACTTTAACACTGTCTCCTCAGGATATGAAAAATTTCCACATTTACCAAACTATTTTCATGGAGATTTGCCTTGAATATTTGATGAGTAGAGAGAGCACTCTGAATAACTTATACCCAAATACTCATAACAATAAAACAATTTTAAAGGAATAGCCACATTTTTTTAAGTTCTGTTTTTTTATTTGTTTGATGTGGACCACTTTTAAATTCTTTACTGAATTTGTTACAATATTGCTTTGTATTATGTTTTGGTTTTTTGGCTGTGAGGCATGTGGGATCTTAGCTCCCTGACCAGGGATCGAACCCGCACCCCCTGCATTGGAAGGTGGAGCCTTAACCACTGGACCACCAGGAAAGTCCCCTTAATAGCCACATTTTAGTGAATGCTTCCAATGGACTGTGTTCTGAGTAAAGACACCATCATAATTTAATTCTTCCAGTATTTCTTACAAAGTATTACTATCAGTGCCCTAGAGGAAAAAACAAACACGCACCCAAAGCAAACAACAACCACCAAACTGAGACCAGAGTTTGTATAAATTGCTCTGAGTTACACAAGTGCTAAGGGGAAGTCTTAAATTTAATATCAGCTGTCCTCAAATATAAAACCATTGCCATTCTTATATGTTAAATTCAATAAATTGAAATGATATTCATGCGTTCATTCATTTATTCAACAAAACACTCGTTGAGTGCTTACTGTGTGTTAGGAGTACTGTGTTAGGAATTGGGACTTCAAAACTAATAAGACCCTTGTCTTCAAGCAGCATATGGTCAAGTAGGGGAAGCTGATGAAAGAAGAATTAATGTATCGCAACAGAAGGTCTATGCGAGGTGAGGTGAGAAATCTGAGTTGGGAGCTTTGAAGTCTTTTCTTTTTAAAATTTATTTATCCATTTATTTACCTATTTTTGGCTGCGTGGGGTCTTCGTTTCTGTGCGAGGGCTTTCTCAAGCTGCGGCAAGCGGGGGCCACTCTTCATCGCGGTGCGCGGGCCTCTCACTGCCGCGGCCTCTCTTGTTGCGGAGCGCAGGCTCAGTAGTTGTGTGGTCTTTTCTTTAAAATAATCAGTTCCTGAAGCCGAGCTGAAAGGTTTTCAGATCTCGAAAGCAAGTCACTCTTGGAAGAGTTATCCCCAGCTTGCAGGTGCAGATAACATTTGAAGAGCAACTCACTATTCTCCGGAACCAGTTACGCTGACCTAAAACCAGTATGCTGTGCAACTCCCATTTCACAGGCAAAGATCAGTCAATACCCAGGAGATGAACAGGAGTTTTCTCTAGGAAGACACTTTTCTTTCTCAGTTTTCCAGAGTAAGTTTCCATGAGGTGGGTGTGTTTGGGTTTAGCAGGGAAGAACTCCACGGTGCTGTGTTGTTTTAGTGGCTGGAGGATGACATAAAGTGAAAACCATAAGTTCAAAGTGTCTGGCTGTTTACGGGAATCCCACCTCCAGAGAACTGGCATTTGAGTGCGAGATGACTCATCTGTATTAACTCTTTGGATAAACACTTTCTTGTTAAGTGTAACATGGGCTATACATTTCTGGACAAAACTGTTCTCAAATTTAAATAGAATATCTGAACCAGGGTTGTTTTTTTAAGATATAATTAGGAAGAGACAAGTCACTTCAGTACCTTCTTTTCGGATGCTGCCCAGGGTTTTTGGGCAAAGCCATGGACCAGAGATTTGATACCACATGTTCAACGAGAAGAGAGCTTACCAAGATTCCAGGTATTTTCCATGGTGTTACTTCATCTATGTCTTTGCAACTCCAATCGTCCAGTTATCTCTGGGTCAATTTGTTAAACAGTGCATTTATTCTAAATACCAAGCAAGGCTTTCCTCTGATTCTAATTTAAAATGAGTAAGTGCCCAAGGAAGATACAATTGTAAAAATAAATCTAGGGGGAAAAGTCGAACCCCACAAACTATAATACACTCAACAGATGATGGAAGAAAGAATTTGGAGAACTAGTACATGTAATCACCTGCATCATTCTATTGCAATGGGCTTAAGAGCCAGCATTTACTTGTTTGTCATGTCTATATGAATTTAAGGCACCATGGTGGTCTTCTTTTAGTGTACCCACCTATCTATTTATTTATTTTTGGCTGCATTGGGTCTTTGTTGCTGCACACGGGCTTTCTCTAGTTGCGTCGAGCGGGGGCTACTCTTCCTCGTGGTGCGCGGGCTTCTCATTGCGTTGGTCTCTCGTTGCGGAGCACAGGCTCTAGGCACACGGGCTTCAGTAGTTGCAGCACTTGGGCTCAGTAGTTGTGGCTCATGGGCTCTAGAGTGCAGTCTCAATAGTTGTGCTGCAGGGGCTTAGTTGCTCTGCGGCATATGGGATCTTCCCGGACCAGGGCTCGAACCCATGTCGGCTGCATTGGCAGGCGGATTCTTAACCACTCTGCCACCAGGGAAGTCCCCTATTCATTTTTTTTTAAACAGATAAATCTCTAAGGCACTGTGAGATGCTTTTGGCACCGTAAGAATTGTAACTTTTAAAAAATTGTCTACAGAGCAGAAATTTCTGATGAGATCATAAACAAATTAAAAATTCCTTCAAACTAAGTAAGTACTTACCTACCCTCCTGTCTTAGTCCGTTCGGGCTGCTATCATAAAATGCCATAAGTTGGGGGGCTTATCATAAACAGAGATGTATTTCTCACGGTCTGAAGGCTGGAAGTCCAAGATCAAGATGCCAGCATGTTCAGGTTTTGGTGAGAGCCTCTTTCTGGTTCATAGTGGTCTTTTCCCTGTGTCTTCACATGGAAGAAGGAAAGAGCAAACACTAACCCCAATCACGAGGGCTCCACCCCATATGACCTAATCGTTTACCTAAGTTCCCTACCTCCTAATAGCATCACCTTGGGGGTTAAGATTTCAATATATGAATTTTGGGGTGGGGGACACAACCATTCAGACCATATAGCACCTCCCATCTTAAGACTGAGCAAACCTGGGGTGTAAAAGGCCAGAGGAAGCAAAGACATATTTTTCATCCCTTCAGACATGTTAATGATCTTGGGAAAAATTATACAGTTAATAGTAAAATTATTTAAGCAAAGACTCTCATCTAAGAAGTGTGAATATTGTGAAGTGACAGGACTTTTGCTTCTATGAGTTTAAAGAAGGGCAGTGGTTACAGCAACACCGTCTTCTTGCCAGATTGAAAGCTGTTGAATGGGAAGATTTTTGCTGAGTGCCTTTCATGAGTTTAGATATGAAACGGTGGGACTGGAAAGGAAAATGAGGTCATGAGCTCAAAAGTCACAAAATACTGGGGCAGGTCTTTGCTTTCCCTGGGCTTGAAGTTGAGTTCCTGCCCAATCTTTTTTTTTTTTTTTTTTTTTTTTGCGGTACGCGGGCCTCTCACTGTTGTGGCCTCTCCCGTTGCGCAACATAGGCTCCGGATGTGCAGGCTCAGCGGCCATGACTCACGGGCGCAGCCGC